AAATACATTTAATCAATCAATCATTTCACAGCTGCTGGGCAGTGATTCTGTATTCAGGGGTGTCAAACTGCCAGCCTGAGGGCCGGTTTCATCATACCGAAACCACGCCCACCCCATTGCCGGCAATGTAAAAAGAGTCACAATACGTCGCAACACGTCACATGAAATGGCGAATTTGACACCTGTGCTGTATTGGGAGGAACTCCTGGGCTCTTGGATTTTTCCAAGTTGCATCATGGCTCATCCCTGTTTTGTTTTTTAATTTGTTAATTGCTTTCTGGCTGCTCTGAGGGATACTTTTGCCACATTCTCAGCAGTAGCTTGCAGGAGTTTTCCCCTATTTTGTTCCTTGCCACAAAAATAGCAAACATGCTGAAGAAAGAACAGGGAGGGGGTTGGGGTATCCAGTCTGCCAATTTTTATTATTCTCCCTCTTCTGATTCAGGACAGTCATGGAGCACTGCAGAGCACTGAAAATATACTGATGGTTTGGCAAGGCAAAGCTGGTGGCCATAATTGGATCACTGGTCATTCTAGTTCTGTATCATCTAAACCGTATCATCTAAACTGACCAGCAGTATTTAGGCAAGATCTTTTCTTGAATCTATTTAGAGAAGCTGTGGATTGAATGGAGGATCTTTTGTCTATAACACCATGGTTCAGTATGAGCTACAGCTTCTACTTCAAGTTATGACTGAGATCATCCTAAAATAATTAAAACATCCTTCCCTAGTATGGCACCCATCAGCTGATTCTGACTATAACTCCCAGGATTCCAAGCCAGCAGTGCCTTGTTGATAAGACATCCTGAGAATCACAATCCAACACATTTAGAAGACACCAGGGTGAGAAAAGCAAGCATTACATCAGGCACCATATAAAATACAGGTACTCCTCGACTTATGACCACAATTGAACCCAAAATTTCTGTTGCTAAGTGAGATACTTATTGTGATTTTTGCCCCATTTACGACCTTTCTTCCATAGTTGTTAAGTGAATCACTGCCATTAAGTTACTAACACGGTTGTTAAGTGAATCTGGCTTCCCCATTGACTTTGCTTGCCAGAAAATTGCAAATGGTGGTCACGTGACCATTGCAAATGGTGGTCATGTGACCATCATAAATATGAGCCAGTTGCCAGGCATCCAAATTTTGATCACGTGACCATGGGGATGCTGCAACAGTCATAAGTGTGAAAAATGGTCATAAGCCATTAGTAACTTCAAACAGTCACTCAGCCACCCTGAGTCCGCAAGGAGAAGGGCGGGATATAAATGTAATTAAATAAATAAATAAATGAATGGTTGTAAGTCAAGGGCTGCCTGTATGTAGTTGAAAATATTTAGATGACTTGTTGCTTCCCTTTCTGAATTATTCTGTTGTCAACAAGAACCTCAAAGAAACATGCAAAGGTTCTCTTCTATACTGTCACCTTTTTGTTTGAAGCCATCGGAGAACTGTGGAGAATTCTGGCAAGTAGCAAAGACAATCTCTGAAGTCACCAGGGACGAACACAAGGAGGATGTGGATGGAAGACCTAATTTCCCAGTTTGGAGGCGAAATCGACTGAGTTCCTGAGAGAGGAAGTTAAACTGTTCTGTGTGGCTGCGACATTGGTTTTCCAACTCTCTCACACGGGCCTGCATTGCAAAGAAAAAACATTAGCACAGCTGAAGGCAGATCTTAGGAACATAAAGAGATTTTAATGGAGCAGAAGAAGTTGGTCTATCTTGCAGGTTAGTATCCACTGACACACACTAACTAGCTTAAGTCCACTATGGCCCCCTGACAAAAAGTACCCCCCCCATACCTTAAGTGGGCTTCAACTAGAACTCTCAGCATTACTCAGTTCTGGCTATGAAAGTTGCAATAACATGACTGGAAACTGCCATGTTGAAAGAAGTTGGCTTAGAGTTAACCCAAGGGCATTGACTGACTGACTGACTGACTGACTGACTGATTGATTCATTCATTCATTCATTCATTCATTCATTCATTCATTCATTCATTCATTCATTCATACATACATTCATTCATTCATTGTTCCTGGGTATTCCATTTTAGGTGGATTACATGATCATTCCCCAGTCAGTGGATCCTAGATCTTTGAAAAATTTAATTTCATGATGCATCTACTTGGCACAGCACAGCAAAATTATATAACATGGTCCTGCAAATGTGGGCATTAGTTTCCTGTTTGTTTTGGGACACAGTAGTGTTGGTGGTATCTCAGCAACTATTCCCTTCTATATGAGTTTGCCTGCTTGTTAAGATCAATGGAGAGACCTCTGTTTTCCAGCAGTGACAGAAGTGTAAGGGGTGAGACATGTCAAAGGGTTTTCTCTGTGACCCGATCTAAATTTTGGAATTTGCATCCTCAGGAAATCAGATTGGCACCTTCTCTGATAGTGAATACCTTCCTTTTGGGATAAGGCATAAGCAACATAAATTTTAAAAGGTGCTGCTTTCTCACTCTGCCCACTACATACTGTTTTTTTATTACATATTTTGTAACTGATTCTGTAAAAGTTTTCAGCACTGCCTTTGGTAGAAGAAAGCTTCCAGTAATTTTTTGGGAGGATAAAGGGATCAGTTTTAAAAGGCAGCCCTGTGCTGAACTGTGGGATAAACCTACATGTGCAAGATCAGCCATTGCAGATGATCACAAGAGGAAACAGTGTGAAATGTTAGAACCCTGACAGAGAGAAAAGAATTGTGACTGCAAAGAAACTAGAATGAAAAAAAACCCTAGTTTTTCTTTCCATTCTGCAAAAGCCTCTGAAAGAATGAAAGAACATCAGTAAAAAGAGGTTGGGTGGATTATTGCTTTTATGGTTACCAAACATAAGAGCCCAATTGCAGATTGAACATGTTATTAATGACAATGAATAGAAGACACAGGAGTTATCTTTGTCATCATACATTTCCCCACCACTACCACCACATTTCTGTGTTAATCACATCTACATTACTAGTTATTCTACAGAACAATACATGCACACCATTTTCTCCTCTGTATGCCACAAAGAACAAGGGCAAGGAATCTTCTTCCAGCCAAATATTTCTGGCTAATTAATGGATACAGTATAAGAAATGTACATGAACTCAATTTAAGGATTAGTGTGTAGGGGGGGAACCACCAAATGTACAGGTATAGTATAGGGGGTACCTTGCTCAATAGTAGTAACTGTGAGAGGGACCTCGGAGTCCTAGTGGACAATCACTTAAATATGAGCCAGCAGTGTGCTGCAGCTGCCAAAAAGGCCAACACAGTGCTGGGCTGCATTAACAGAGGGATAGAATCAAGATCACGTGAAGTATTAATACCACTTTACAA